GTAGATTTGTGCAGGATGAGTACATTCACTATAAGGGTATTCAAAGGTGACCATTTCCAAAACACACATTCCAAAAGAGTAAATGTCAACCAATTCATTGTATGCCTCCTCATATACCTCTGGGGCCATGAATTCTGGAGTGCCTGTAGCAGATTCGAACAGAATCATCTAGATCAAAAAATAACTCATAATTCCTTCTCTAAGAAGGAAATCATTACCATAAAAAATGAAAAAAAACTTGACTCGATGTAAGAAGGGGATTTAGAAGATCACCAACACAATGGTCAGCTTGTGGTTTCCGGAGAATGGCTGCAAGACCAAGATCACCAATCTTAACCTCTCCTTGGTTTCCATTAACAAAAATATTGTCACACTTGAGGTCTCTATGAATGATGGGAGGGTCATGGCTGTGGAGGTAGAGCAGGCCGCTTAAGATTTGCCTGCACCAATGCTTCACTGCTCTGATATTAACCCTCCGATGTTTTTGCCGATACCTAAGGAATGGAATAGAACATGAAAGAAAGGAATAAGAACCCAATTGACCAGAGATACGAGTTATAAACTAACAATAAATTAACTTACTGCCTCAGAGTGCCAGAAGTAAACATCTCAGTGACAAAATTGATCTTCCTCTTGGAGATATCGACCCAGGAAGAATAGAATTTCATTATATTCTTGTGCTTTAGGGTTTTGAGGAGGTGGATCTCACAATATAGCCTCTCCAAATCCTCCGGGCTTTGAAGAAAGTCATTTAGCTTCACCTGGTTCCATGCGACCTCAATCCCCTCATACTCATCAAAAGCCCTATATCTGCGATCAAATTGCAGCAAAAAAAAACTCTCCCATTTCAGAAAACACATGAGATTGAGAGAAAAAATTGCCCAAAATTACAAATTGGGTAACTCTATTCCAGGCTTTCAAAAAGAGAAAAATCAACAAGAAGGGGATAGATTCATACACTGTTTTTGATGAACCCTTGCCAAGGATCTCATTATACTGCGTTCAAAACCAAATGGATCAGACAAAATCTAAACCATGGAATAAAAAATTTAAAACTACAAAAACTACCAATCAAACGAGTCAACGAGCCAAGAAAAACGATGAATGAGATTTACCCTTCCATATCTACCAGTCGGATCAACTTCCACGAACTCCTGGTATTCTGAATCCTCAGTATTTGAATGCATCATTCCTCCAAAACTGTATCAAATGTATATATCTTTCCTAATGATGAAAAAGAAACATTTTTTACGCAGATTTCATGAACGAGAACTAAAAAGATAAGAAGCGAAAGAGAGATTGAAAACCGGATCCTGTGAAAAGAAGAGAGAGAGAATAGAATTTAGTTTCGGTAAATTGAAAAGATGAGAAAGAAAAGGTGCGCATCTCAAATGAAGCCCTACTAAATCAATTCTATCTCGATGGATGGCAGCAGGCCACAAAGGACAACAGAAGGACAAAAGGTACTAATTTGGACCACTTCTGCTTTGCCCAACTTGCCTTGCCTTCTTCGCCTTCGTAAATGGACCAAAAGTCCCTTCTCTTCCACC